ATGTTAAACTTTTCGATTTCCGGGTTTTATACCAAAAAATGTCGTTAAGTGGAATATCTTGGCAAACTCCTAATTTAAATGCAAGTATAAAATGAAAAGTATATATATATATATATATATATATAATCTTCATCATGCAGTTAGAGTTGAAATAGCATTGCATTCAGCAAGCGTGTCAAGCTATTATATATATATATATATAATATAATATTTATTTTTATATGTATAGATATATGATTTAGGATTGGACTCAGCAAGCGTTGGCAAGATAGTAATATATAAACATATAAATATATATATATGTATATAACATATATATATTTCAATATAATATTATATATTCAAATAATGATTTATATATATATATACATTTCATTTTGAACTTATATTTGAATTAGTAGTATGCCACGATATTTTACGTGAACGACATTTTCATATATATATATATATATATATATATACTCTTAATTTAAATATAAGCTTAAAATGAAATGTAAATATATATTTATATTTTTTTAAATCTTCATCATGCACTAAGAGTTGAAATAGCATTGCATCCAGCAAGCGTGTCAAGCTATTATATATATATATATATTTATTTATTTTTATTTATATACATATAGATATATTATATAAGATTGGACTCAGCAAGCGTTGTCAAGATAGTAATATATAAACATATATATAATATAATATTTATTTATATATGTATAGATATATGATATAGGATTGGACTCAGCCAGCGTTTTCAAGATAATAATAGATAAACATATATATATATTTGTATATAACATATATATTTCAATATATTATTATATATTCAACTAATGATTTATACATATATACTTTTCATCTTAAACCTATATTTAAATTAGGAGTATGCCACGATATTCGGCGTGAACGACATCTTCATTTAAATATGAGTTTAAAATGAAATGTAAATATATATATATATATATTAAATCTTCATCATGCACTAAGAGTTGAAATAGCATTGCATCCAGCAAGCGTGTCAAGCTATTATATATATATATAT